AAAATCATTTCAGAAAAACGAAAAAAAAATTTTCACAAAATGTTACACACACACACAAAATCAAAGATTTTGCGGATGGGTCAATTTATTTCTGGTAAAAACGTAACTTCCTCAGAGTTATTAAAGGAATAGTTAGTAAAAAATATTTTGAAATATTAAAATAAATACATGTTTGTAATTATTTGATTTTTTATTCATATTAATTTTTCTTGCTTGGTCATAATATTTGTTATATGAATATAACTAATATTAAACAGTTACTCGGATGGACAGTAATTCAGAATTAGACTATACACATAGTAATGCTACTATATAAGTATACAACCGAACTTTTGTTTTTTAATTTGAATTATATTAAAGAATAACGTCGGAGCTTTTTCAGAGAACTTTTTAAGTTTGCCTGCTTTACGTCTATATTGACTAGGAAAAAATGACAAAAAAACAAAATGACAAATTAATTACAAAAATTTAATTGAGTTTAGCAAAATTGAGTTAAATAAAAATTGAAAAAAAATTGATTTGGTCACTTCCTTTGATTTAATTTTCCAAAATTTGTTTTGAGTAAAAATTGATCATGATTGATTTGGTCACTACTCTTAATATTATTTTTCTAAACTTTTTGCCGAATCAATTGCTTAAAAAAAATCAAATAAATGAAAACTCTTTTATAACAATTCTGCAAACGTAACATAAATACCTGAAGTTTATTTCCTATTTTATGGGTTTCTTTTCCAGACTCCCCCACAGAATTCCATATCATTCCTCTACTAAGCCTCCAAAGACCTAATATTAACCGATTATCTTCAATAAATTGACCATTGGCACTATGAAATTGTAAAATAATTAAAAATGACAAATAAATCACTAAATATTTTTAACCACAGCACTGTTATGCATTTTGAAAAAATTCGAATTTCACTTTCAATTTAAATCCTCTCGATGATGGCACATTGGGCAATAAATTACATATGATCGCTGGATCCATGTATCAAATCTATTATATAGTTCGCAAGTTCACGTGCGATCATGCACACACTCGGGTTTTACATGTTGCTAAAGTTTTTTTCTAACGCACACCTTTCTGCCTGTGTTAGTGACGATGTTGTTCGTCTATTAACTTTTTTCGATTGTCTGCCATGCGTGCGGCCGTCTCAAGGAAATCCAGCGACCATAAGGGACAGGGATTTTTATTATGAACACACCTCAGCAGTACGATTTTTCGAGGAATATAATAAGCGTTTAATACACTTTGTAATAACAATTATTACGTGTTTATATGCAATAATCTAACATGCGAAAATGTATGCGACCTTGCATCCGCCTGTACGCGATGCTCTTTGTATTTGTGCCGTAACGACATATATTTATTGTTTTCCGCAAATTCATGATTTAATTATGATAATTCTGTATAAATATCGAATTCGATATTGGTCTAGCGAAATATTCAATTGAGAACCCACCAGCTCTACTGTGTAGGTGTTATCTCC